AAACAACTGAATAAAAAATATACATATATCAAAATAGCCGATTGCAACATAAAAAATAAAGTCTTTATTCTAATTTATTTATTGGGTAAATATTACTTTCCTCAGTTTGGAATTAAAATTGAAGCTTGCTTATCGAGAAAAAATAAATTGAAGCTTGGTTGTGGAGCATAAAATAAAATTAAAGTAGGTTATAATTTCTAACTTGCTGACACTGTCCATAATTATTATTTAGTTTATTCATTTTAATAAATTAATGTATAAACTGAACTGTAAAATTATCTTTCATGCTTCCAATGGTAGGTTACAATAGAGAAAAGTCTATGATGCCTACTATGATTAAAATTAGTAAACTTGAAAAAATTTTAAATTTATAAATAAAAGTAATTTTAGCTCCATCTATGGCGATTTTTAAAATAAATATGTAAGAATTGTATGTTATATATAATATATTATATGTAATATATAATGTATAATATGTAATATACAAAACATTATCTTATAAAACTAGATAAAAGAAGATATACTTTGTAAAACACGTTAGTATTATGCCCTTTGATCAATTGAAGGCCTAACTTAAAAATGATGTCTGTCGTACATAATTTGCATGTAGAAGTTTATATATCGAATAATAGTTATCAATACTTTAACGCGATATACTCAAAATTATAAAACAACGTTGCTTCTTCGACTTTTTAACCCTAAAAAAATGGTAAAATTTTAAATTAAATTGTCCCCAGCGCCCCCTGTATGTTAAAATGTAAAAAAAATAATACGTGGATTTATTGCCATTAATAAGGTCTACATTTTATCTTAAATAAAAATGTTATCACAAAATATCGAAATTTATCTATTTTTAACACAGTAGAGTGACTTAAGGCCTGAAAACCACAGCGGTCAATGGATGAAAGTTTTTTTTTGTTAAAAAAATGCACCATTTAAATGTAGAAATAAGGTAAAAAAATATATTTTGCATCACTTGCAAACAAATGAAAAAAAATTTGTTCGATTATTACGCGAAACCATAGTTAAAACATAAAATCACTTAAAAATGCTCATTACTAAAAATAATTAAAAAGCACTTACTACTTTGTTGCCGATTGCCTAGTTAATCAGTCTCGTACTGAACCTACCTGTAACAAAGAAAAAAACATTAAAAAACAACTCAAACAAGCAAAATCACAATTTTTACCTTTAAAGGCCTTTCCCTGTCACCATCGTTGTTATTGCATCTCCAGACAAAAAAAAAGGTCACTCACGCACTAAAATATCGCAACGAAACACAAAAAACTGGAATAATATTCGCATTTTTATCAAAACGCTCCAAGCTTGTCAAACTATCGATCGTTTTGCAATTATGGCCGACAAGGTGACAAAAACGATAAAGATGACAGGATTATACATAAAAATGCTGCTGAAACTTGGACGTTATAATGTTATATTATATTATTTTTAAAATAATATTTTATATAAAGAAAAGTCACTTTGTCAGGATTAACACTTTTATTCAAACACCACTTAAACCTATTAACAATTTAAGAAACAATATTCATAACCAAAACAACGTATAAACACACCGACAGCGGGATTATTACTGATAAATAGATACATACATGTTTTGAATCATTCGCATCGGTTGCGTAATGCCTAACATTTTTTGTTTTTTTAATGTATTTATTGAACCCAAAGAAAACAAACGCTTATAACAGGTGAACATAAATATCAAATAAGGCTTTTGTGTTTAACGAAATAATATATATATATATATATATATATATATATATATATATATATATACAGGGTGTCCCATAATTAGCGTGCAATACTTTAACAGCAGATTCTACTTACAAAAATAAAAAAAAAGTTCCTATAAACATAGGTCGAGAAATGCTTTTGAAGGGAGCTACAGCCCCCGAAAGAGAAGCCCCTGAAGATGGTTTTTATTTAATTTATCCAAAACCGTTCAAGATAGAAAAGTAAGATTTTGGGAATGAATCAAACTTTTTATAGCCAATAAGATGTAATAATAACTATTCAAAATTTCCATGAGGGGTGAGTCAGAAAGATTAAAGTTAGGGTTAAAACCACCCTAACTTTCTTGTCAGTGTCTCGTGCTAGGATTTGATGTCAGATTATAAAATTTCGGAGTTTTACATACGAAAAAGGTCCTCTTGTTAAACTTTGATATTATCCGCTGTTTTCGCTTAAAATCCATTTAAAAATTACCTTACATAGCATAAAAGATCGTAATGAATTCACAAGAGAGAAAAATTCAGCGTAGGCCATGGAACACAGCTGCCACCTTTAGGAAAAATTATTTAAGACAGGTAATAGTTTCATGTAATATGTGACAGGGTGTTTAAAAATTGTCCATGGCCTACGCTGAATATTTTTCTCTAGTTGTGATTTCATTATGAATTTTTATGCTATGTAAGGTAATTTTTAAATCGATTTTAATCGAAAACGGTGCATGCTATCGAAGTTCGTCAGGAGGACCTTTTTTGTGTGTAAAATTTTATGATCTTATATCAAATCATAGCACAAGATACTTACAAAAAAATTAGGGTAGTTTTACCCACACTCATTATCTATCTGACCCACCCCTTATGAAAATTTTAAATTTTTTATCATTCCAACTTATTGGCCATAAAAAGTTTGATTATATCCCAAAATTTCACTTTTCTATCTTAAACGGTTTTGGACATATTAAATAAAAAACCATCTTCAGGGGCTCCTCTTGGAAAGCATTTCTCGACCTATTTTTATAGGAACTTTTTTTCTTATTTTTGTAAGTAGAATCTGTTGTTAAAGTATTGCAGGCTACTAAGGGGCACCCTGTATATATATATACACTTCGCGTCAAATTTAACGCACCACTAAAAGTTTGTGACATTTTCAAAGTTGATTTTCTCGCGAACCGTCAAACCGAATTTAGTGATTTTTATAATAAATTGTAGGTTTATTCTTCGGTAATAATGCGGTTATTAAAATATTTTTTTAAATTAACATTTTGAGAATATACAGGGTGCAAGAGTGGTAATAAGTTTTTTCCCGGAAATTTAAAACGCCCTGTGGATTGTACCAGCTATAACAGCATATGTATCTTATAATCAAACTATAGCCACATCTTCTCTTAACATTTTGTTTTTTGATTCACCGCGTTATCTTTATTTCTAAATGAAATATACAGTTAAAGATTAAAGAACTCCAGTTTAATACAAAAATGTAAAAAGAACGATTGTAACAATAACAACAAAAATATTAACAAAATCAATAAACCCAACATTAAAGAATATCAATATCGCGTATTTCTGCCTCTACTTCTAATTACGGCTTCACATCGACGGCTCACACTCGAAACCAGATGTCTAATCTCGTCTTGATCAATGACATTTCATATTTCTCGTAGCATATTTGCTACGTCATCAAGGGAGGCAGGCAAGGGATCATGATTTCTTAGTCGTCTACCCATATTATCCCACAAATGCTCGATGGTGTTGAGATCCGGACTATTTGCAGGCCAGTCTAAAGTTTTAACACCCACCTCATATGTTAGTACTCTTGCACTCATATGTTAGTACTCTTGCACTATATAGCATTATTCTGCATCAGTAAAAAATTATTACCGAGCGAAAGGGACAACATGCTCAAATAAAATGTCCTCGATATATCGTACACTTTTCATGGTACCTTAATCTTTAATCTTTAAATGTATATTTCATTTAAAAATAAAGATAACCCGGTGAATAAAAATACAAAATATTAAGAGAACATGGGGCTATAGTTTGATTATAAGATACATATGCTGTTATAGCTGGTACAATCCACAGGGCGTTTTAAATTTCCGGGAAAAAACTTATTATCACTCTTGCACCCTACATATACTCAAAATGTTAATTTAAAAAAATATTTTAATAAACGCATTATAACCGAAGAATAAACCTACAATTTATTATAAAAATCACTAAATTCGGTTTGACGGTTCGCGAGAAAATCAACTTTGAAAATGTCACAAACTTTTAGTGGTGCGTTAAATTTGACGCGAAGTGTATATATATGTTGTTGTAAGTTATGTGCGCCACCACTGGAACAAAATCTGGATGGTGTGATGAACTAAATTTTTTAGGAGTGCTTCGTTTTGCCATATTTTAAAAGAAAGAATGGGGAAAAACTACTCATAGGCAATAATTTGGCGAGTCGTTTATGATTTGAAGTCCTACCCTTGTAAAAGGAAAATAATATCAAACTTTGTTTTCTACCACCAAATTCGACCCACTACCAAGCCTTTGGATGTTGCCGTCTTCCGCCCAATAAAAATTTCCTGGCGCAAACAACTGGAGAAGTGGAAGAAGAGATAAAAGGGTTCACTTCCTAAGGAAAAATTTCCATCTTTATTATCTTAAACCATGAATGATTTACCTAATATGGAAAAAAAATAAAATCGGGTTTTTATAGTGCTGGAATAGTGCCCCTAGAGCCAGAGCAGGTTCTTAAACGTTTACCTAATGCATTCATTTATTCAAAAGTCAAGGATGTATTAGAAGTCATTATCAGTCAAAATTTTGCCAAAAACTGAAGATCTTACTTAGAGGTGGAAGTCCATTCAATTTCAAAGTAATCATGAGATCATATAAGACTTTTTAAATAAGTATTAACCCCTTAGCGCGCAAGACAAATTGTTAAAAGAATTATTTTTAATTTTTTTGTTTATTTTTATAAGAGAATATTATTTATTTTGTTGGATCATTTTTATAAAACATTTCTAATTTGTGACTTATAATATAGGTTTTAATCGGTTTTGTTGTGTTTGTTCAGGAATTACATTATTTTATTATTATTTTTATTATACTATTTATTTTGTTTAAAAAAGTATATTTTTATACAATAACAATAAATTTCAATTACAGTTTATCTAATATAAACACTGTGATATCATTTATAATATTGGCTTATTTAGTGTTGACCCCTCCAAGAAATCCTTATCATTCTAAACGGTTTCAAATTGCATATAAACAGACGTTAAATCAACTTGAACTTACTGTGATAAATAATTATTTTTGAACAATGCCAAGTAACCTTGTTTTGTTATTATTTTGTGTATTTGTTCGACTGTCTTTCACTGAATCCACCAAATATTTGCCTACATGGGACAGTTTAGATACTAGACCTCTACCAAAATGGTACGACGAGGCCAAAATTGGTATTTTTTTGCACTGGGGTGTTTTTTCGGTGCCCAGTTTTGGGTCGGAATGGTTTTGGCAGGACTGGAAAGGTGCAGTTTTAATTTACATTGTTTTAATTTTTTTTATTTGGATTATTTGTAGTTAACAGTTCATCTTATGTGGACTATGTAGAAGACAACTACCCACCTGGATTTACTTACCAAGAATTCGCTAAAGATTTTACAGCGGAATTTTTCAATGCCAGTGAATGGGCGGAAATATTTAAAGAGTCTGGAGCCAAGTAGGGTTTTATTTATTTTATTATAGATTTTTTTATATTATTATTTTTTAAGGTATGTGGTATTGACCAGTAAACATCACGAAGGTTTTACTTTATGGCCTTCTAGATACTCTTATAGTTGGAATGCTAAAGATATTGGGCCTCGTAGGGACATTATCGGTAAAGTTGCTACATTACAATACTTTTTCCACAAATCGCGATGTTATATAATATAAACCCAGCAAGTCTATAATGGCCCTTTATAAACTTGCCTTTAATGAACTAAAGGCCCTATAAAGGCTAAACTATACATAGTTTGTCGCGTTCACCTTGAAGGCAGTCAATAAACGCACTTACCATTCCATTTTTGATATGGCGCGCTAAAGGTTCTGATAAGGAAGATTAAAGGTACAAATGTGGCAAGCTAAAGTTTATGATAGTGGTTATTTAAATAATTTTTAATGGATAAGTGAAGTATCTATTATGGTGGATTAAATGTGGAAGGTATATATTTATTGGATAGGGATTTTCCACGATAATCAGAAATTGTTATACCTACCTTCACAATACAATTTCTGACGGTCGGGATAAAAATTTCAGATTATCGTGGAGTATCCGACACAATAAATATAAACAAACGACATTTAATCCACCTTAAGTTGATTTTATGGTATAATATACAAATATTAGCCTAAAAAGGACCATTGCAAGACCTTATCACGATAGCCTTTCATCAAAATTAATATTTTTACTAAAATAGTCCTGTAAAGGCCTAGTACAAGAAAAGCTTTGGTTAAAAATGTCATTATTAAGCCAACTATATAATGGGCCCTTACATAATCAGACATATTTGTTTGCTGGAAAAGTACTACTTCCTTTTCCTTTTAAAATAATACATCAGCTATAAAACCAATCGTGTTTTATATTTAACGTTTTTCTAGATGAGCTATCAATAGCAGTCCGCAAAGAAAACCTGGAATTCGGGCTGTACCACTCTCTGTACGAATGGTTCAACCCGATGTACCTCTCCGACAAACGCAACAAATTCCACACGCAAGAATTTGTCAGCAAAAAAATCCTGCCGGAAATGAGAGAACTGCTCCTCAACTACGAACCGTCGATCCTGTGGTCTGACGGGGATTGGGAAGCGAGCGACACCTACTGGAAGTCGACGGAATTTTTGGCGTGGGTGTACAACGATAGTCCTGTCAAAGACCACATCGTCGTCAACGATCGATGGGGAATCGATATACCATGTAAACACGGCGATTTTTTCACCTGCTCCGACAGGTACAATCCAGGTAATAGATGTATTCTTATCAGTCAATGCTTTCTAAACTTCAACCCACGGTATTAAAAATAACAATTTTAATTTTAAAGTCATTTTTCTGTTAAAACAGATAAATTACATTGTTTATTATCATATACAGTGACCGGCAAAAGTATGGAGGAAATTCATTGAAAAATTCGGCTTTTTTTCTAAAAAAAAATCCTTAAAGTCGATTTTGTTTTTCAATTACGCACATTTTGATGTACAATGTTCATATTTTCCGCCAGTTTTGTATTTAGTATATCTGAGTTTTTTATTTTATATTTATTAGTTAGCATATAATTTAAAACAAATGTTCACTACTAGAAGTAAAAACTTTTAGTTGAGCGTTCATGAAGTACCTATCTGTCTCTTAAGGGTTCCCCAAATATTTCGAAGTATTTAAGTATGGGCCATTTAACTGAAACAATGAGAATTGAAGTTGTAATTCTCAAAGGCTGTGGCAATAAAACTAGAACACAAACAGGAAGTTTGCAATTTATTTAATACGGTTAGTAAAATTGAACGTAAATTTAAAGAGACTGGACATGTCAAAGATATTCAAAAACCTGGCAGGAACTTAACGAAGATGATCTGGACCGTGAAACTATGATGAATTTATGTAACAATAATCCACACTTTTCTCGTAAAATACTGTCTTCGGACGAAGCTACCTTCAGTTTAAATGATACCAGTCAACCGTCAAAATTGTTGGTACTGGAGCAGAGAAAATCCTCATTGGGTACTAGAGGCAAATTCCGAATACCGGCAAAAAGTGAATGTCTGAGCAGGAATGGTGAAAAGTCGGATCAAAATTCCTTTCTTTTTTGATGAGAATATGATATATTTGGAAGTTTTGCAAAACTCTCTTTTTCACACATTGGCATAGGTAGATGTTTTTCAATAACCATTTAGTTTCAACAGGACGGGGCACATCCGCACTATGCGCATCCTGTTTGTACTTTTTTGGACACATGTTTTTCTAACAGGGTGGCGATTCTCGAGTTAAGAGAACGCTTCTCATAGGAGAAGTGGACATTTCTCTCAAGTTTTGACAGGCTGCATTATTGAATTTAAGATAAGTTAGTGCGTTCTTCTCTCGGAAACTCTTTTCTGCTTTAGGAAAACCAAACTATTGCATGATTTTAAGAATGCAGCCTGTCAAAACTTAAGTGAAACACGCCCACTTCTCATGAGAATAGCGTTCTCTCAACTCGAGAATCGCACCCCAGGTGGATTGGCAGAGATTGGCCAGCGAGATCTCCAGATCTCACACCCCTCCATTCTTCATTATTTCTTATGGGGCTACCTTAAATCATGATTGATATCAACAGACCACAAAATTTAGAAGAATGTCGCTTAGTGCGGAAGTCATACAAAACATTCTCAAAGAATTTTTACATTGGCTTGCTTACTGTCAAGAAACCAACGGGGAGGAATTCAAACATTTAATTGGTAAACGCATCCATTAAAAGCATTTTCAAAATAATTTTTATAAAGATAAAACATATTTTTTTGGAAATAAAAATTTAAATCACGAATTTTTAAATTTAATAATACCCAAGACTATCATCCCAACAGGGATACATGTGCATATTGCTGAATTCAGAATTTCATAATCTATTCAAATCTGCAAAAAAGGAGGACCAATTTAAAAAAACGGCCGATGACGTCGTAGATTCTACAAAAATAGTGGCAAATATGAATAGTTTACATCAAAATGTGTGGAATTAAAAAGCAAAATCGACGTATTCAAGGCACATTTTTTAATGAATTTGTTTCATACTTTTGCCGGTCACTGTATATTTACGCTTATAAAAATGGAGATCTTAATCCGTTGAAGTGTTTGGTTTATTTAGTTGTTTATTTGGTATTATCGGTCAAGTACCTACCAATTGTTTATTTATAAAAAAGGTAATACATTGCAAACAAATACTTGATATACTGATAACTTTTGGCACAAACAGGCACCGACAACTTGATTCAGTCTTTTGGACCGTATCAGTGCCGGGTATAAATTAATACATTCACCATTCAGTTTAACATGGTTTAATTTGTAAACATTTGTTTAAACTTAGGTACTCTGCAAAAGAAAAAATGGGAAAACGCGATGACGATAGATAAGGTTTCCTGGGGATTTAGAAGAAATGCCAAACTTTCCGACTATTTCACTACCCATGAATTATTGGTCACATTAGCAGGAACTGTAAGTTGTGGAGGTAAGAATTAAAATTACTAATTTTTCGTTATACGTCCTGCAAAAAAGCCAGATTAGATAATCAGAGAGATCAGAGAAATCGCAAGTATAATTATATTTGCAAGAGTTTGACAAGAAAAAAAGAAATTTTGAAGATTTTTCTCGTTTAATTTATAATCTTGGTTTCCTTTGAAGAATTTTGTAGATCTTTGTCTAAATTTATTACAGTCTGGTTTATCATCCTTTTTGTAACTATAACTAAACCTTTTTAGGTAATTTACTGATGAACATCGGGCCGACAAAAGACGGCATAATAGCGCCGATTTTCCAGGACCGTCTCAGGGACCTCGGGAAATGGTTGAAAATTAACGGAGAAGCAATTTACAAGAGCACGCCATGGACGCATCAAAATGACACTTTAACGCCCGGCGTGTGGTACACAGCCCGAGAAAACGCTATCTATGCGATCGTGCTTTTTTGGCCTGAAGATAATGTTTTGAAATTGGAATCTGTTGCTCAGTTGTGCGCTAGTAATGAAACTTCTATCAGGGTTTTAGGGAACGAAGGAAAGTTAAAGGTGGGTGTTAGTTTGTAAAAATGGTCTATTTAAAAACATTTGTAATATAGTAATTTACGAAATGTATGAAATTTTTAGTACCTACTTAGTTAAATTTTTTTGAAATTTTATTCATAATAATCCTGGAGCATTCGCCATTTTTGGAATCCGAATTTTATTTCAGATTTTTTTTAATTTAACTGTTTTGTTATTGTAGTGGTCCCTAATCGATGATGAATACGTTCAAATAAAATTCCCTGACAAGGCAAAAACTCTTAGTGAAAATGCATGGGTTTTAAAATTTGTAGGAACATAATTTGTTACATAAATTAATTTTTTATTTGTTTTGTTTGTAATAAAATTATAATAAACACTTATCTTGTTTAATATTTTATTTCTTAAGGTGGTCTCTCTATTAAAAGAGTTTGATAAATAAATAACAAGCTAATTCAGCGGTGCCAATGTAGTAAAAATAAAACGTTTTATTTTAATTAACAAATTAATACTTTATTACAGATTAAAGTATTAATAAAAAAATTGGCAGCAAAAAATTTAACTTTAGCCCGTGACTAAAACGCCATTAAGTCACAGCTCGTCAATGTTGGAATAGATAATAGTATTAAGTATCAAGTTTAATAAACACCATTTTAGTCACGAATTTAATTTGGGCACGAGTAAGCTTGTGAGCGAGTGCTTAATTAAATGAGTGCCTTGAAAAGTTTATAAACGAGTTGCATTCTATACTTTTTCTACGACAAATACTTAATATAATCTAAAATTTTTTTTTAAATTAAATATATATAAAGCCGAGTATAAAGCGATATCTATACGAAAATAAAGTAACCATCGCATCCCAATAAACATTTTTAACGTAATTTTTACCATTAACATTGCCCGTCAACAAACAAACTTAACAATAATTGTTATAATAATAATAATTGTTATAATAATTGTTATAGTAAAATGTAATGCATTAGCTATTTTTTGTAAAACTTGGCAAATAAAATCATAACTTATTAACTTTTCATCTTATTTTTTAATAAAACTTAAAAATTACTATGCTTGACGTGGTCTGTCGCCTTTCTATTATGTCCATTTCTACTTCGTTTAATAAAAAAGAACATTTTCAATTACTTCTGTTGCTCGCGCTGGAAGTTTCATTAAGAAATGCCTGCCCTAATATGCAATCATTCACCCTTTTTTTCGGTCTTATTTACTTTTGCGTGTGGTTATCTGGCTTGAGTAATTGCATTTTCTTAAACATCAGACTAAATAAGTGGAGATACGAAGACAGAATTCTTGATTCGCAAATTTGTTAAACAACATGTCTTTAAATTTAACTAATCGATCACCTTTTTCACAACAATAGACTGCGGTTGTTTAATTTTTATCACCATTTAAATCTAAATGTTTTTCTTGAAAATAGACCGTTTAATCCGATATAAAAGCAGTTTTTTACAGTGAAAGTAAAAAAAAATGTTAAAATACCTTTGTATTTTTGTATTGAGATAATAAAATAATTTTTTCATTAAGTATTATTTTATAAGAAGGGCTCTTTATTAATGTATGACATTTGACAAATGTCCGTGACTAAAACGACATAAAACCACAACTTGTCAACGTGTATTTAAAAGGTCACTAAATATTATGGAAACAAGTACAATAATGGGAGTTTTAAAGGTGGGAGAAAAAAATATGAACGCATTACTGCCTCTCTCGCGCTATAATTATATAACAAAAAGGACATCGAGTGCATTTATTCCAATAAAGTTGGTACAACACAATTTAAATTGATAAAACGGATTATCATTATTTTTTTAAGTTATAAATTAGTATCCAAATGGATTTTTCATTAAATAGGTCAAACGACAATTTTAAAATTAAACTACATTGATAACCTCGATTCGTTTAATGCTAATTAATGATTTTTTACCCTGGAGAAAATGCATCAGCTGTTTGTTTGCGTTTAATTAGCTCCGTTCTGACACACATTTTTAAGTAAAGAAACATTTTTCAATTAAAAAAACTGCATAATAAATTTAAATTTCTAAAATCCAGTAAAGAATATACAGGGTTTACCAATTGGACCATTTAAACTTTTTCTAAGAAAAAAGAATATAAGAATATTTCGGCCATTCTTATTGTTTGTTCTTTTACGATTTTACCAAGCAATTAGTTTTAATTTTTTCCAAGCTAATACCATTGGGTTACATCCAAAATATGCAGTGTTATACTTATTTTAGGGTAAAAGTTCTTTATGCACGGCAACCATAATTCTCGCGTTAAACTCTATTTAAATATTGAAAAATATACAATGTGTTTCATTGAAAATAACAATGTCAATGCTATTTTATTAAATTTACTGATGCTTTTTTGTATATGATTTTTTGGTTTTAAATTTTCCAAATACTAACCAGATTTTATGATAATTTACATAACTTTATGTTAAGTTTACAACCAACTGTAATCTGTTAAGTAATTGAATAAGTAGTTTGTAATTATAACAATCATTTTGTACTACTACAACACTTACTGATGTATTCCGCTAATTTCGCTAATTCAATATTTATAGTTTGAAAACCAGTGATACTTCACACTTCGCACACTTGTTAAATTGGCATAAGAAATCCAAATAAAAATAATAATAGATTTCTGATAATATATTATAAACACTGGAAAGTTCTTACGAACACGTTACGAATTAGAATAAAGTAAGCAGAATCATAAGTTGCAGACGCTGAAGTCAATTGATGCGTATTGTAAGCACACATTATAAAACTTTTTGTCAGTGGAAAATGTTTTGATTGACTGCTTGAAATGACATGTACTTTTTCAACGAAATAATTTGTTAAACATTAACAAAATATTCTGTAACCTTTGAAATCAACAAAAGGCATGCTTAAAAATTGCATATTACCTTTACAAAACTTTCGATAAAATATTTTCCTTTGTTAAAATAATTACAAACCCTGGTTTGCTACAAAAAAATTCACAAAATTAAATTAACTTATGTTAACAAATCTGATTTTTATAATAGTGCATAAAGATTTCATAGGGATGTCTTATTATTAAAAATACCCTGTACATGTTATAACTTTGCATTTATCCTTAGTAAATACCTTATTGTCTATGTAAAAGTGCAAAGTCTTAGTTTGTAATTTAAATATGCATATGGTCATATTTCAATAATTTATTTAAAAAATGGTAAATGTTGCATTCTATTGAATGTATTTTAATTTATTTCGTGTCAAAAAAATTAGACAGGAATTGGATTGAAAATTTATTTACTGAGGGTACAATAAATTGGGGTTAAAGTGGAGGTAGATGTTGTATTTTTTACCTGTAAGGAAACCGTCAACTCTGATCTAATTTTAATTCTCGTACGCAAGAATCGCACCATTTCCTAAAGTAGTAAAAATAATTTTCCGTTAAAATTGTTTAGACAGTTTTGAGGTGTTTTAATCAATTAAACAAATGTTTTGAGGTATTTAATAAAATTCGACAATAATAACGATATACAACTCGCACCACAAAGAAAAACGGAACGTGCCGAAAGTTATGCGAAACACAATTTTAATTTAAACAATTTTACGTATACGTTTAACCCAGGCGAGAGCATTCGGTATTAGCTATGAGGCGCCATTTGTGTCAAAATTAAAAGTGTAAAATAAACTTATTTTGTTTTATAAATAATTAATTATATGCATTATTTGCCAAATTATTTAGAAAAGTATAGTATGCAACTCGTTTATAATTATAAACTTTTATAGACACTCATTTAATTAAGCACTCGCTCCCAAGCTTACTTAAATTAAGTTCTTGACTAAAATGGCGCGTATCAAACTTGATACATAATATACTATTAAATGTAAACTAAATAAAGATAGATAAATAAGGATAGATTTAAAAAAATAGTATAAAGTAAAATTTTTTGTGTAGACTACCGTGCGGGTAGTGAGGATGCTCTTGCCCTGCGCCAAAGCAGGCGGTCCTGCAGCCTTACCGCTCGCTCCTGCTGGCAGTAGCAGGATAGCAACGCGCCAGCTCAACAAGTAACCTGCTCCTGCTGTCGACACGTAGGACAGGACGGGTGCGGAATTCGCGCGCGCGAACACAAACGGTCGCAGTGATGTCGATCTCTGTGAAGCTTAGACAGTTCCAAATACCGAAATGTAAAGGAGAGAAGTTGGCTAAAATTGAGTTTAGAGGTAAGATAGATAACGTGAATTATTTTTGTTTGTTTTTTAAACTTTGTTTACAAACAAAACAACAATTTTAACGAAGTTTATACAGATTTCAATGTTGTTTTGTTGTTATCAGTTTTATCCAATGCAAAATTTTAAATGGGTGAATTTGAATGAACTTTAAACTATATTTTATTATAAAAACACCAAAAGAAAGCATTTTAAAAATGTAAAAAAAATGTATTCATTATTTGTTAACATTTAACACTTCTTGACAAAATGTTGAAAATACTACCTAACTTTTGTGTTTCATTATAGGAATTATGAAAAAATTCAAATATTTATATGTATCCCTTATTAAGTAGTACTCACTGTGTATTGTGATATGTATGTTGTGTTTGGAGAATGCTTAAAAAATTAGGTCAAATAAATAACCTTTAAATAAACGCAATATTTTTCGTATAATAATAAACTATTAAATATCCTATAAAAATATGTCATTATTTATTTGTTTAAAAAAAATTGCTGCTTATATATATAAAAAATATATAATCCGTCAAAATAAATTGTATTCATATTCATATATTTTTATTTAGATCTGAAAAAAGTAATTTAAATTGTCAATGTTAACTTTATTATTTATTTTTTATTTACCTTTGTTTGGTTTACCCAATTTGCAGAATTGCTTGTTTAATTATAAATAAAAACTGTTTTACCGTTATTTTAAAACAACAACAAATTTTGTAAAACAAAATTTAATGAGTGTAATTTTAAAAAGTTTTTAATTAGACCTGTGTGACCCATTTAGCAACTTTTTAAATAGAAAAATTAAGAATACGTACAATGTTTTTATATTATGTGTACGTAAAATAGGAAAATAAACTTAATTTAAATGAATGATTTTGCCAGTTAATAATAATGCACCTTCATGTACCAGCAAAAATTGTTTGGAAATAGACGGTGTGACTGTTTTAGAGTGGCCTTCTTGTTTACCGGATCCTAATCGAATTTGGAACTTGTGGAATAAGTTTAAAAGAAGGATTATGCTTCGTCGAATTAATGCTTGCATTGATACTAGAGGTGGCAATACTGATTATTTAATTAACAAAAACCTATTATTTTTTCTTAAATTATAATTTACCGTAAAGAGAAATTCACATTTTTTGTGATGTGTTTGATATAAAATATG